CTTGTCTCAACTTGCTTGCCCTTCATCTTCTTGTGCTCACTACAAGCGAGAACTTTGCCTTTGCTTGATGAAGAGGCTTCTTCGTGACCCATCTTACGTGACATCTCAAACGCCACTATCTTACCAATGACTATAGCCGAGGTTATGGTGCTCAAGTCCTCCATGTTGTGAAAGATGGTGATGATGCTTGCATATTTCTTTTGTGGTAGCATGGAGATGATCTTCCTCACGATGTCTGCATCACCTAGCTTTGTTAATCCTATAGAATTGAGCTCATTGATAATTAGATTCAAACAAGAATACATATCACGAACAAGCTCATCACCATTTATTTCAAAAGAATCATAACTTTGTTGAGCTAGGCAATGTTTTTGCTCACGGACATTACTTGTGCCATCATGGAGCTCTTGTAATTTGAACCAAATTTCATGTGTCGTATTTAAAGTGAACACTTGGTTAAACACATCCATACTAAAATATTCAAACAAGCAATTTTTAACTGTAGCATTGAAATGAATTTCTTTTTCTTCACTCTTTGTGGGTTATCGGGATTCTTCATGGGTTTCATCCTATCACGAGTGACTCTCTAAACACACAAATCTACTGTCTTAAGATGACAAGCCATTCTAGCTTTATAGTAGGGGAAGTTAGTGCCGTCAAAGTGCGGAGGCCTAGAGGTATCCATCCCATCCATTTTAAATAGCATCGGCTCAACGGTGGTGAAGCCAAATATCCAAATTGAGGCAACCGCCTCTGATACCACTTGTAAAGGACCATGACGCCTAAGAGGGGGGGGTGAATTAGACACCTTAAAATTCTACTTCTAACTAAGGCCTCTATTTCTACCTAGTCAAAACCTATGCAAGAAAGTAATCTATCTAAATGTGCAACTACGCTTTTGCTAGGTGTGTTGGTATCTCTACTGTAAAAGAGTTATGCAACCTAGATTCTAATCCTATCAACTAGCCTATCAACTAAGCTAGGAAAATAAATCACACAACCAAGGTAGCAAAGTAAATATGGAAGGTAAAGATGAGGTAGAGATGCAAACTCCCGTAGACGACTTCGGTATTTTTATCGAGGTATCGAGAAGCGCTCATGCTTCCCCCTAGTCCTCATTGGAGCCTCTCGTAAGGAATCCCTCGCAAGGGCCAAGCTCCCGATCGGGTAACTCCGTGGATAGCCTCGGGCCTTCTCCACGCGCAAGTGGGTCTCCAATGTGCCTTCCGGCAAGCCTCTCCCGGACTGCTCCCTGCTGTCTTTACTATCAAACTTTCGGCCAAAACGCCGTGGGTGTTGTTCCCTTCGGTACACGGTGGTGGCCACACCACATATGCGGTTGGTGTGGTCTTGCAAGACTACAAGCCTTGCTGAGTACAAACACGATGTGCGCAAGCACCTTGAGTTTAGAGGTATACAGACCTCACTAGCAACTAGACCTAAGCCTAGAGCAAGCGCATATGAGCGTGGTCTATCTAACCTAAGCACTTCGCAAAGCACCTACGCTAATCACCAAGTGATCTTTAAGCTCTATGCATGTGGAGAGCACCAAAGTGGTGTAGCAACACCCTAGTATCCTTCCCTTGCTCCCTCACACTCCAAATGGTCGGTTGGGGCAAGTATTTATAGCCCCCAAGTCAAAACGAGCCGTTGTGGTCGTGATCCGCTTCTCTACAAGGTCACCGGACAGGGCGGTGACCGCCATGTGGACTAGCCGTTGCTTCACTGACAGGCCGACCGTTGGGACACATGGTCACCGCCATAGCATGTCCGGTGCCCCAACTCATTTTGGCTGCTCTCTGAAAAGTTTGGGCGGTGGCACCGCCACCCCCTGTCTGGTGCACCACCACCCCAGGAGCGGTGACCAGGGCGGTGCACACAGTCACGTTCGGTGCCCGTCTCTTTTCCAGCTGCTGCAGCCTTTCTCTGGTGGCACCGTCGGGCGGTGCCCACTCAGCCACGGTTTGCTTCCGTTTCTTCGCGTGGCTTTGTTTGGGCTTCGACATCTTCGCGTCTTGAAGTCCTTGCTTCACTTCTAGGCTGTCAACACCTCCTCTAATGTCTTCTTTTGAGTGTTGATCATTTTCTTCATGTTCCAAAGTTGATGCAAGTCCGCGTTGCATCCTATTGAACTATAAAATAAACACTAGCAAACATATTAGTCCAATTTGGTTGTGTTGATCATCAAACACCAAAATTCAAAGTAAATGAGCCTAGGGTCCATTTTCCTTACAAAATCCAATAATACTTTTTTGGTATCATAAACATTTGTACTTTTTGTATAAATTTGGATAAACTTAAAATAGTTTGACTTAGGACAAACCTAAAACATCACTTATTTTGGGACGGAGAGAGTATATGAAAACATGAATAGTTTTTGAATAACAGTCAAGAGATCTGCCTGTTGTTTTGAACTTTTAATTACTGAGAGCCCAGTGAACAGAGTCAACAAAACTTAAAAGATCCATTCCTTTCTGTCTATATAAATGAGTAATTTAAATATAAAAAAGTATCTGAATAAGGATCCAGTAAATGTTAGAAAGTTAGGCATTTGCATGATTATAATCTGAATATAAATAATGAAACAGATAATAACTGCTCATTGCAATACTAATTAAATAGAGTATGCAATTCTCATAAATTAACATGCATGCTAACATGTAGTATTGAAAGCAATACAATAAACCATCACAGACTAATTTAGAAAATTATACCCTTTGAGTAGTGGGCCTAGTGTAACGACCCGAAAACCCAAACTTTTAAAACAATTACTAAACCATTGTCTTTACCAAGATAATCTGACAAGCCCAGAGTCTTTAACTTGAACTTGGCAAACACACCACCGTCCTTGGATGTCCTGTTCACGGCCTTTTCCAAACCCTCTTGTACCATCCCTCACAATAAGACGTTTGTCGATGGCATGCTCTACAACGATGTGATTGTATCTCCTTATGTACTACAATGGAATCAAAGCTCCATGCAGACTACAACAGCATGGGTAAGCCTATGGATGCACATGGGTATCGAGATGAGCTGCCATGACCATTGTAATATAATAAAGCGGCTGCAATGTACATCTTGTTGAGAGTAGTGACCATTGATACCTGTTTATTTCTCTAAATTGAGTAATCCTCAGTGACCCCCACCTTAATGACCTTCGACCTAACTAAAATCTTGATATGTAGCATATGCTTCCCCTTTGCCATGGACCACAAAAAGCTTGTTGTCATCTTCTATACATTCTTAACTTAATTCTAAGTTCATGCTTTTTTAAATGTTCTAACCACCCTTTATTTTCATGCATGTTCAACCCTTCCTTGTCTAAGTGTCTACTTTATCTCTAATGCAAGACCTCTATCAACCATGACGTTAGGGGAGTCAGATGCCCAAACGTGATTATAGTGGATCACCTCTAGAACCATCAATGGGGATTATCGACACCAGAAGACAAAAGAACCCAAAGGAATGCGTGATGACATAACCATCCCAACACTTTGGAATCTAAGAGAAACATGAGAGGCTACCCAAGACCACATTTAGTTAACCTAGTCATAAGCCCTAGTTAGAGAGCCATTGGTGTCATGATGGATATTATCCATGGGTGACATGTCAGCCTGCACACACAAATGCCCTACATGCCAGATTCCACCCAAGTTAGTCTCACAAATGTTGTCTGACCTGTTTGGACAAATAGTCCATCAGAGCGTGTGATGCACATAAGTGTCACATGCACATGTACCCTAGGCCCACATGTCATCCCTCCCCCCTCACACAAGCACCAACCCCCTCTCCCTCCCACTCTCCCTCACATTCCTTCTCACTACACAACACAACATAAGCCCACTATCACCCTTCTTATGATGGTGGTACCCACGAGGAGAACAACACCAAGCGCTATAACACCAAGCACTATAACATGCTTGGATGGAGAAGATTTCGCTAATCAAGACAATTACAATTAATATCAATGCATTTTCCTGGATTTATTCCAGGATTCAACGGCGCTATTCTTTCAGTGGTAGGTGACGTGCTGTCGACAACGAGCCATTGTGGTGACTTCGTCAATCTCGAAATTTGCTGGTCCAACTCAGTTCTTCGGATGTGCTCATAGGGGTAGGATGTGCATGCGTACACTCATTGGGGTGAGTGTGCGCTCGTGTATGTGAGCGTCTGGTGGAACTAGGTCTAAAAAAAATAGAACAAACTTCAACTAAAGGCTTGTTTAGATTAACTCAATCCCTCTCGATGCATATAAGAATTATTAAAGAGAACAAACTAAATTCAACCTATCTCTTTTTATATGTATAATATGTATGGATTGAAAAGGATTTACTATTGTTTTGAAATAATAATATCTGAAAACGTTCTAAATAATTATCCCTCTATAAACCGTGTCCTCTTGGGGTGCGGCGGCGCAAGGTTCTCTCGTCTCTTCCTCACCGTCATCGGGCCTTCACCTGCAGGGACGGAGCCCAGCGGAGGCGAAACTGGGCTCCGGCCCCTGCTTGGCCGCTGACGCATTCTGAAGCACTAGTATATTGATGAAGCAAGAACCATACAAGCTTACATGCAGCAGCAGTAATACATGTACTCCTACTCGCTAAGCAGCCGCAACCGATGGGACGAGTTTGTGTCGTCACTTGTCAGGCCTCTGCAGCTCCGCTTTAGGCCTTGTTTAGTTCCAAAAAAGTTTTTCAAAAAGTGCTACAGTAGTCATCACATCGAATCTTACGATACGTACATGGAGCATTAAATGTAGACGAAAAAAAACTAATTACACAGTTTAGTTGAAAATTGCGAGACGAACGTTTTGAACCTAATTAGTCCATGATTGAACACTAATTGCTAAATAAAAACGAAAATGCTACGGTATTCAAATTTCTAAAATTTGGCCAACTAACGAGCCTTACATGCAGCAGTCAGCCCCCTTCATTTTATACCACGCTCCGCACTGTTCACCTGCACTCGTCGTTTCTCTCAATCCTCGCTGCTCCCATCCCATGGCTCTCGCGTTCGCATCTCACGCCCGCCGCCTCCTCCTCTCCGGCGCTGGAGCTCCGGCGAGATCGTTCCACGCCCAGCCCTACCAAGGTACGCCCGCTCCTTCTCCGCCTCCTTGAATCTCGTGGTGCTTCTCTTTGGTGATTGGAGTTGGATCGTTGCCGGGCGCAGCCAGGGTCGGCGTGGTGGAGTTCCTCAACGGTGTGGGGAAGCGGGTGGAGAAGCACGCCGCGAAGCCGGAGGACGCAGTGGGTAGCGATATCCAGAGGCTGATCGAGGCCGGCAAGCTGCGCCGCAAGAATCTCCGCATCCCCTGCAAGCGTGTAAGCCACAAATTCTCCTCTCTCTCTCGGGTGAGAAACGACGAAACGAGTGTCCGATGTGCCTCTAGTTTGAGCATTTTGCCATGGAAATGTTGTTGTAGCTCGGTGAGGTTTTGATGTCTATTATATAATTCGATCCCTAAATAGAATTTATGAGCCATAGCCAAATGTTGATTTGGGAGATTTCCTGTGGTGTTTTCTGATTGAGATGCAAATACTTTTCTCCATATAACTTTGCTTCCGACGTTCCATTGGCTAAAATGTGAGGTGACTTGGCATGTTAACAGATCAAATCGGCTGTTTGTAGAATAAATTGGTCCTTCTAGTAAATTACTTTGTTCAAATAGTTTCGTAGCCTATAAAAAAAAAACTTGACCGGGGGGTTAAGACTGCTCCCGCAGCATTTCAAATAAGAAGAAGTACCTTCTCACCCGGCCGAGAAAACCCCCGAACCCCCGCCCCCACCCTTACACGGTGGCTTTCCGTCGCCCAAGTGAGAATTGGGCCGGTGCCCCCCAAGTGCATTGGTTATGGGGACGGATGAGGGGATTTTTTTAACCTCAGCCTGAAATTCGCTCCCACGGGGAGTCGAAGCCAGGACTTGAGGAGTGCCGCTGGGTCACCTAACCGTTTGAGCTAGGCGCCCTTTGGCTTCGTAGCCTATATGTTGCTTTGATTCTTGTGAATATCAAACCAGTTGCATAGTTAATAGTTTCCTTTTGATAGATTGCTTTCATAGCAAATTTGGCGTCAAGTAGTGAATCTAGGTCTCTCAAACCATGCATTGGGTGTTGAAAGATTGATGAGATGACAAGAACACACGATCAGTTTTTCTTTTTTTGTAAACACTAAATAGTTTTTTTTTTCGGTTGATGCTGTTCTCTCTAGTTAGTTTTTCGTTTTGATGTTGGAATGAGTTTTCTAGAAAGTTGTGCCTGGGACAGTGGTAGTGTCCTTCCACTCATATCCCAGAGGTCCTTATTCAGATCAACCCTTTGTAAAAGCTGCCTAGAGATGCCCTTTCCTAGACTCCAAATTTTGCATTCCCCCAATTTCAATTCCAAGAATGTGCTTTATGTTGACGTCCATGAGACCATGACCCAATTGGTCTTGCATAACATAGCTCGAGTTCACGCCATCCTAATTTTAATTAAGTTGCAACATTTAGCTAAAATGGATTTTTTTTTGCAATAATTTTCTTTGTTGCGTAAGCCATGTACAAGCAGTTTTCACATAGAGCCCATTATTTGTCCTTGGGGAAACAAGTTAGCGTTTAATATCCAAGCTTGTTTCTGTGTAAATGGCTGTGGCTCCGGTCGGAACTGCTTGCTGCAGCTGTTTGACTAGCACGGCCGAGCAGGCTGAATATCTCCCCAACTTTGGTTTTGGTGGCTATCTAAATCAAGTTTAACATAATCTGGTTTTGTTTAAATGTGAGGATGAAACAAAATTTGGTCAACGTTTAGCTAACCACTGAATTTTAATTGTAACATTTACTATGGGTTAAAACCTGTTGGATCTTGATAACAAACAATTTTATCCTGATAGGATATGTTGAATCAAGTTGTTAGAATTAGCTATTTTGGTTCAGAATTCTTTTAGGGCCTGTTTGGATCCTTGGAATTGAATTCGTTCTAATAATTATAATTTGGACACAAATAAATTAAGCTAATATGGTTCTATATGGAATATATTTGTATATTATTGTTAACCATACAAGGGAGATACTTATATGTTGCATTTCTACTATAGGGAAACGAGTTGAAGAACGTGCTATAAGTTAGGGAGTAGAAACATAGCATGGTGATCTGTAGAATCAATTTCCGTCTCCCACCCTATGAATTTGAGATGGGCTTATTTGTGAAGTGTGAAAGTTGTGGAATAAAGCCAAATAGCCTAATTTATTAAGTAGATTTCAATTCCTCCGAAATGAAAGGATCCAAACGGCCCCTTAAGGAAAAGTTTGTGCACGAGCATTTTGTTATGGAACACCTTCAAAGAAAGCTAAGCATGTGACCACGTAGGCATCCTCATCTTTTCTCTCATAATTAGTCAGGGCCACCATTGATAAAGCTCAATGATTGTGTGTAGTGTTCTTTCCCACCAAAGAGGCATCAAGCATTGCTGTTCGCTTGCTTCTCCTGCAATATGTTCTGTTTGCTCTCTTATTCCCATCACCTCCATGGTCGCTTGTTGGTTCCAAGGCAGGGCTCACCGCTCACGTCACCATGTTCAGAAAAGATTGATTTTTTTTTTTGAAATAAAGGACTGGCACTTAGCAGCATTAAGAATGGTTCTTTCTTTCTGTAAAGTAGCCTCGCTTTGCAAGGTTAGTTGCTCCAGTTTCTGAATGCTAGACCCTCCTTCGCACAGAAGTGAAATTCACATGCTTCTCAGTGCGCCACCAGATCAAGCTCAGTTTCCACACGCCTGCTCGGCTACTCACCTGAATCGAGCTCTTGGTCGACCGAATCAAACCTTCAACCTTACTGTTGCTTGGGTTTGCTCGACTATCACCTCGTTGAGACTGAGGTCTACACTGCTGAACTGAGGCCACTGGAGCATGTCCAAGGGCTGGTGAGCTGGACAGGTCAACAAAAGGAAGATGTGTGGGCTCTTCTTTTGACGGGAACAATGGAATTGCATGAATAGTTGTTGTAGAGGCTTAGCAGATAAATTCTTCATACATATATCAGGGTTCCATTTAAAAATGTAAAGATTGAGAATAGACGTCTGTAGATCTAAATTATCAATTTGTCATATTTGATTAGTTTCCTGCAATGCAGAGAAAGTTGATTTTGAGTCTTGCCCACAAGTTTCGTCTTGGTCTCTGGAAGCCTCGAGCAGAGCCCAAGAAAGTCGAATGAAGTTTGTTTGTTCTTAGAATGCCCACATGGAATTATGGAAAACAATTGAGTGAAGCATGTTTGAGACATTGAATAGATACTCTTGTAATTTGGATGCCACAATCTTCATTCTCTGCCAACGCTTATTTTCCAACAGTTTGTGCAGAATTCTTGAAAAATTCCAACTATCTGTAGCATGTAGCATGATTTGTTCCTTTTGTAACAACAAAAGTTACCAATAACATATGACAATTCTCCTTGATGGTTTATCACTTCATATCTGTATTGTTACATAGTTTATTTTACTAACAATATTGTAGTTTTGTGAAGTATAACTCTAAACGAATGGATTAGGTCCAGAGTCGGACCAGACACTGAAGCACCCCCATGAACTGTAGTGGACAATGCAGAAAGAGACGTTACTGTATACTAGAGAGCTCCAATAATCATCTAGGTAAACAGATCTTGCTAAAATGGCAAAGAAGCTTCTGGAACTCTACGGTTTCCTAAGATGCAAATGGACACAATGCGATGATTTTTCCATAGGGTCCGCCACTACGGTATTGCCAATTTTTTTGTGCTATCCCTTTAGCTCCACTAAACACTGTTGTTTGACTTAGTTGTGAAATAACTGGTCTAGCCAAATATTCATTCTTTACTTGATGAGACAAGGAACCATTGAATAATTGTTTGCTAAATGTTGTCTGAAGTCCTTTTTATTTTTTTTCTTAGTTTTTAGCAGGTGTTCCTATAACGGAGCCATCAATTGGAGATTTGAAAAGGATATTAAAAGGAAATAATTGCTTAATTCTAATTAATAGTATGGATTTCAGAGTTTGTATATTTTGTGGAATGAATATAAATATTTGAGTATTTGTGTTTATGATTTTTTTCCTAATTACATATATATATATATATATATATATATATATATATATATATATATATTGTAAAACCAATAAAATAGCTTCCACTATCTTTCACTGTAGTTTTTTATAGCTTTGTGGATGAGGTTATTGCTAAATGGCTTAGCCTGTTATTTAAAAAATCTCAATTCTAGCTCAACCCATTCTAAACATCGGCCACGTCAAATTTAGTATTGTTTGACTTAGAACAAGCTAGAAATGCTTATATTTGGAACAAAGGGAGCAATTATTATTGGAGGGGATCAGGGGAACATATTGCAGAGACGGTGCATACAGTTTTGGATGTTGTCGCGAAGGTTGTTTTTGTGGTCGCAGACTGACAGTAACCTTTCTCCCTTTAATTTTTTTTTCCTTTTCCTTGTTCTTTATGATCTGCCTTGCCCTGTAGAATCCACAATTTAATTTCAAGCCTTGTGGAAACAGAATACAACCCGTCCATAGAAATGTTTTTTTTAGCTGTGGATGCTCAATCACAACTTATTATATTTGTATGTTGTATATGTTTTGCACCAAGCAGGGACGTGACGCATGTAATATATATATGGCTGGGTTCAGTGTACGCGCGTTGCGCTTTGTTAGTTGTTTACGCGCGGCGCGCTGATATTGACGAGGGGCCTATTGTTTTTTTTTGTACTAATAACATGATATACCAAGCTGAAATGCGATAGTTGTAGACTGCTACTGTGGTTAAGCCCTGTTTGATTCACCGGCTAAACTTAGCTACGGTGGATTCAATTAGACCACAGTTAAACCCAGCAAAAGGCCAACTAATGGGCCAACTCAACTAATGGCAACTAAAACTGACTAAATGACTAAAATGCCCTTCTCTTTTCATGCATCGACGCGCTCATTTTTCTCTGCGCTCGCCCGCCACCCCGTGCCTCGTCGTGCACCTCCTCCTCCGCTGACAGCGCGGGAGCCGCCCCACTACGCGAGATCTCCAGCGGAGTAGCGACGCTCGTTGCACTAGTACAGCGACAATTTCTCTTGATGGTGGCCATTTTTTTTCCGGTGCCAGTTCGTAATGTATTGGCACCACTAGAAACAAAAAATATGGGTCCAGACCATGAACTTTCCGTGTAAATTTATTTTTACTGACTATTTTTTTAAGTTTACCATCAGTAAAAATACATGATTTCTAGTGGCGGTAGCCTTAAGAAAATAACCAATGGAAATGTATTTATAGTGACGGTTTTCATAACTTAGCGCCACTAAAAATAATTTGAATTTTTTTTTTGAGTTTTTCAAATGATCTTGGATAGAGAAATGGTTTGAACAAAAGTTGTAGGATTTAAAAAGATCTACAACTTTCTAGTTGACAACTTTTTCATTTAAAATCATTTAGGACGAAGAAATTATATTTTAAGATTAAAGATTTTAAAATTTATATTTTTTGAATTTCTCAAATGGCCTCAGATGGGAAAATAATCAAAAGCAAAGTTGTAGATCTCGATGAGATCTAAAAGTTTGTAGTTAAAAGTTTTTTCATTTGAATCCGTTTAGGGCTTGAAATCTTAATTTTAAAATCTGCAGTAGTGAATACGGCAAAATATTTAGTGCAAACAACGTCTTCGGTGCAATCTATGAAAACCCCATTAAAATTATACTTAGGAGTTTTCTAAAAATTTAAAACTATGCACACCAACAGTGCATCTATAGATGTGCATTGTCACAAAATTTGAGATTCAAAGTCGTTTTTGCAAAAATTCATATAACAATGACAAATTTATCTGTTGTCCTCTAGTGCATATGCAAATGAAAATTGCTATTTTCATATGAATTTTTGCAAAACGAGTTTGAATCTCAAATTTTGTGGCAATGCACATCTACAGATGCACTATTAGTGTGCATAGTTTCAAAAATTTTAAAAACTCCTAAGTATGATTTTGCAAAGGGTTTTCATAATTGCAAAGAAGATGTAGTTTGCACTGAATATTTTACCAGTGAGTACTAATGGTATATTTCTACTGTTTAGTCACAAATGGCATTGGGGTGCAGTGGTAAGGGGTGTAACGCATGAGGCTTGAGGTGCTGAGTTTGATTCCTGGGGTCGCATAAGCATGGATTTCTTGTGAAAATGAATGAAAACATTCCGAACGGTGTGTGGCTGCCTTGTGCACGAGCCTCCTCAGATAAAAAAATATTTTGCTATTTTTTAGCCTAATTTCTAATTTTTGAAAATTATTTGTAGTGTCGGAGATAATTTTTTTTGCTATTTTTACCCTGATTTTCATTGTAGTGACGGTTTTCTTAAGAAAACAGCCAGTATAAATCATTTATAGTGACGATTTTCTTAAGAAAACAGCCAGTATAAATCATTTATAGTGACGGTTTTCTTAAGAAAACAGCCAATGTAAATCATTTGTAGTGGTGGTTCTCTAGAAGATGCTTGTAAAATTCGCAAATTTCACGGGCCTTTACCATTGGCGGTGGAACGTGGCGCCAGTAAAAATAGATTTAGAACCGTCGGTACTAATGCTGTGTGTACTAGTATTGGACAGCACGGAGCAGTGGCGCATCTTGGCAGCGTTGGTGGGAAGGAGCAAGATGTCTAGGGACGAGGGCGTGGGGGCGAGGGAGTATGACAGTGAAGGCCACCACGACGCTGCTTAGGACCGTCTAGATCCACGCAAGGGGGAGCCGTATAAGGGGAATGCGAGGATGCCACCGAGGTTGAAGAGAGGGGCCGCCGTCGGGTGCCTCCCTGAGTGGAGGGGAGGCTCCACCACCACGTAGGGGATGCCGCGACTTTCGGCGTGGCTCCCTCTCCTCTGCTTGGCCCGCGCGATACGTCGCCTGGTATGGCCACGCCAGCCGCATCCACCATGGCCGTGGCGGCCTCCTCCTGCGCACATGCGGGTTGGGAGGAAGAGAAGAGCTTGTGTCCCTTTTTTTTGCATTTGTTCTCTCAAACAGGCCTTTAATGAGGGGTTGTATGGTCAAGGTCTTTAATTTGCTAGAGGATATGAACACCCCAACTAAAAATTAACAGTATCAATTAGCTAACTAAACTTTAGTTGGTGTGGATCCATTATTCTAGGATTTAACGGCGCTATGCTTTCAGTGGTAGGCGACGTCCCCGTCGACAACGAGGCGCCAGCGGTGACTTCGTGAATCTCGAGATATGCCGGCTCAGTCCTCCAGATGTGCTCATAGGGGTAGGATTTGCGTACGTATGTTTATAGGGGTGGGTGTACATACGTATTGTGGACCGTACTGTATAATTCTAAAAAAAACATGCCCTTAGCTAGGTTTACAGTATTTTCATTTTTGTTCCTAAATGTCAATGCGACTCTAGTAACAACCAGCGCCTTAGTAGCATTAAAATAACCGATGTGATTATGTACTGCAATTAATTACAAGCAGCGGTAGATAGGTTTTCTCTAGAAGGTCAATGCTCGGGCCACTCATTATAAAAAAAAAATGCTCGGGGCCACACACATCGATCAGGGTTCAGGACGATCCTTCCTACCGTTACAGAAAACGGAAAAAAAATAAAAGCATCTCACCAACTTTATCTGTTCTGTGACTTCTTTATACATTTATTTTGCTATGTATCTAACATATAATATATGTCCACATTCATAGTAAAATAAAAATATATCAAAAAAAAAGTTAAAGCGACGAGTAATTTAGAACGAGATGAGTACGTACCCGTGGACGCACAAGAACAGTGTTTCTGTGCTGGAAATCTGTGTGAGCAGATGGTCACGTCATGCCGTGCAGACAAAGCGCGGGCACGCACAAGTCGTGACCGTTTTATATGCCAGCCGCGCCGCGCAGGCCGCGGGGGCGTCAAACATACCGCCCGCGCGCGCCAAGAAGACGGAAGCTTACCAGCCAGCATCCTCCACCAGCAAGCAAGACGGCCAACTAACAC